AAATGCTCCTCTTTCAAAACTAAATCATAAAATTGGTCAAATTCCAAATCGGGGTGCATATGAAGTGTTGTTGCTAAATTTCTGAACTCGAGTCCAAGTCCGTCAAGAGTGTAGGTGATAAGCTCATCATCATCCATAGAACCACCAGCCTGCTTCAATGAATGAAAGAGTGATTTTGCTCGATTGAGATAGTCAGAAATTGGGGTATTATTGTCCCATTTAAGCGTTCGAATTTCATCCCGTACGAGTCGCACACGGCTGCCCGCTAGTGGTGAGAGACGTTTAGCCAATAGGCTCCATGCCTAAGAGGCAGTAGAACATGAGCTGAGGAGTGTTTTAGTGGAAGGTGAGGATGTTGCCTTGATCCAACTCAAAACCAATTTGTCCCGAGCAAAATCCGGGTGGACAGTTCCATCTGCCATCACTTTGGGTGGATCCACAGTATTTTTTATGACATCTCCAAGTCCATGTATGTCCAGAATGTCTGTAAATTGAGATTTCCAACTGAGATAATTATTCATGTCCATGAGAACTGGAAATTGGGATGAGATATTGTAGTTAAGAGGGAGAGATGAATTTGATGAGGAGCTGGTGAGTTTGAACACTTCTGTGATTAATTTTGTCAAGTCTAAAGTGCTGGACTCGCCTGACTGTGGTGTTTGCGCCATTGAAAAGAGGAGAGATGGTGGATCGAAATTGCTCGGCATTTGCCTATTATGGCTCTGATACCATGAAGGAAAAAGATAAATTCCAGTCTTGTTTATTGATAATGGTTTCCTATACTTATACATCAAGCTTAAGACTATTTACAGAAATGATGTTTACAGAAATATTGAATAAGGTAAAATTACATTGTGTCCATAATCATGTCTTGTACATATAATTCCCATAATTGATTTTCCCAAATATAGCTGCTGTCCAAATATAGCTGCTTAATCACCGTTAGTCTCTTTACGAATTACTTTTTAAACAATTTGATAAGAAAAGGTCAACATTGCAATACTTCTATGCTGGACTATCATCTCTGTTTAAGTTTCATGTGGACTTCTCAATAAATAGGGTCCATCATGAATAAGTCGGTAAATCAAGCATTGAATTTATTTGAATTAATTGCAATGACACATTTGATGCTCTCATTTAGACTGTTTAGTTCTGAAGAGAGTAGCAGGTATTAATGCACTCATTGTGGAACTAATGAAGCAAGTAGAACTAGGTGATTGCCCAAATGGGGATAAATGTGGTCCACATGAGCGCAATCTGTGAAAATTGCATGGTGAATCATTCTACAGAAGGTTTCATATTATTGCTTCCAGATGAACAAGTAAACTTTGTACAGAATAATCTACTCCAACTGGGCAAAACATTCTTGCAAAGATACAATCTAGGATGGAAGCAACACTAAAATTTCAAGTAGTCAGATAATCAAATAAGTGGTAATTCCAAAACCCTCAGCAGGAGAGAGCCATGTTTGGGGAGATTTTTCATACAATACGTACAGAAAACTAATAAGTTGCTTCTACATATGAGACAAATTATCAGAATCAATCGGCGTCTATTTGGAGGTTAAAGACTCAGATTGGTCATATGGCCTTACAACTGTAAGAAAGGCAACCAGACATTACCTATAATTACATTGACAAACCCAAAAGAGCCAAGTACAGGCTATAACTAACAGGAGTAGGGCTGGGCAAAATGTCCGAACCGAACCGAACGGATTTTAGAGTTAATTAGAAAGTGTTCGAATTACTTTTTAAACAATTTGATAAGAAAAGGTCAACATTGCAATACTTCTATGCTGGACTATCATCTCTGTTTAAGTTTCATGTGGACTTCTCAATAAATGGGTCCATCATGAATAAGTCGGTAAATCAAGCATTGAATTTATTTGAATTAATTGCAATGACATATTTGATGCTCTCATTTAGACTGTTTAGTTCTGAAGAGAGTAGCAGGTATACATACGTATGATAGATAATAGATATGCCATTAATGCACTCATTGTGGAACTAATGAAGCAAGTAGAACTAGGTGATTGCCCAAATGGGGATAAATGTGGTCCACATGAGCGCAATCTGTGAAAATTGCATGGTGAATCATTCTACAGAAGGTTTCATATTATTGCTTCCAGATGAACAAGTAAACTTTGTACAGAATAATCTACTCCAACTGGGCAATACATACTTGCAAAGATACAATCTAGGATGGAAGCAACACTAAAATTTCAAGTAGTCAGACAATCAAATAAGTGGTAATTCCAAAACCCTCAGCAGGAGAGAAAGCCATGTTTGGGGAGATTTTTCATACAATACGTACAGAAAACTAATAAGTTGCTTCTACATATGAGAAAAATTATCAGAATCAATCGGCATCTATTTGGAGGTTAGAGACTCAGATTGGTCATATGGCCTTACAACTGTAAGAAAGGCACCCAGACATTACCTATAATTACATTGACAAATCCAAAAGAGCCAAGTACAGGCCATAACTAACAGGAGCGTGCACAACTACCAGAAATCCATGTAAAAAGCCCAATGAAAAAAGATGACCAATGTGGATTGATGAAGAATAAGTTGCAGAGCAATCTAAACCTACCAAGGAAGTCAAACGGATAGTGCAAAGTCGTCTGAGGCTAAGGTACAAATTCCAGTTAAATATTATGTGACCCCATTTATTTTCTTTAGAGGTTGCAGAAGCACAAGCGCAATAAGTAGTTTGCAAATTTCTTAGAGGTCTTCAAAATGTTTCATAACAATATTGCATTCGCCGATGCTTTAGCACGTGTGTGCTATACCACATTCGTGAACATGCGTTACTTGACTACGTGGAAGTATAATCTCAAACCTTTATCTTGTACCAAAATATTTAATCTGGAGAAGCAAATCAACCACCATGTTACTGCAACTGGCTGATCAACCAATCAAACATCTACAGGATATCATTGACCGATGTGTTGGTGAAAGTTTCATCATTCTGGATGTGGAGAACGATACACATATTCTGATAATATTGAGAAGACCTTTTGTGGCTACAGACAGGGCATTGATAGATATCTATGAAGGAATGAAGACTCTCCAAATGGATAATAAACATATCATCTTCAGTATGTTCAAGGCTACGAGAGATATCAAATTGCGTCAGACACTTGTTACAAAATCCATATGTTTGACAAGCTTGTAGCAGACACTTTTGAAGCAGAACAACCATCTGATCCCTTTGAAGTATGCATCGTGCGGTCCGAATCGACTAAGTCAAAAAAAATTAGTTATTCAGAATTGTCCCTACAGTTGGAAGAGTATCCAATTATTTCTCTCAAGAGAAATCAGTAATATGAGTCACTTGAAACAAGCCTGTCGAGACCTATACCCTCGGTGGATAAGCCCCTACTCTTGAATTGAAGCCATTTCCATCTCATATGCATTACACCTACCTGTGATCATTCTAAATTATATTATAGAGTTGAAGGAAGAAAAATTACTCAGGTACTTGGAGACCACAAGACAGCAATTCGATACACCATAGTAGACATTCGAGGGATTATTCCATCTTTTTGTATCACAAAATTCTAATGGAGGAAAATTATAAGCCATCAGTAGAAAGCCAGTGCAGATTCAATTCTATGTTGCAAAAAGTGGTCAGAGCTGAAGTTCTAATATTGCTAGAAACCAATGGAATAGCTCAAACAAACTTCACGAAAATTCAAATAGCATAAACAATGAAAATTTTGCCATAAATACTTATGAATCTCTAGTAGAAGATATGAGATACACGAAAAAATGAAAAAACACAATGAATTATTTATGAGAAAAATATTTAGTATTGTTTATTAAAGTTATATCCATCTAGTGATAGACACTACATGAGATACAATATAAAACAAGATTGCGATAAGTGATACTCACCATAGAGATTGAATATCCCATAAAAGTTATCTCTTCTATCAAGTTATTTTCTAGGTTGATATCCCAGCCAACTAAAAGAAAGGGAAATTTGTCATTAGTATCGCTACTGAGTGCAATCTCCACAAATTTATCATGGGAGAGGATATAGAATGAATTAATTGAGTCGAAGCACACAAGGTCTTGTGTTTGTAATTGCAAGTATTTATTATCATATACTAAATGAATAAAGTTTTGAAGAAGAAAGTAAATATTATAAAACCTATATTGCCAAATAGTATTGTAAGAAAAAACGAAGAAATGCTATCTAATCTATCCAATTTCCCCTACCCCATCCGATCACCTTATTGTTTAGATCTTAAATCTTGCCAATTCGGGACTAACACTTGGATCTTTTATTGATGCCACAAATTTTCGCAAGTATATGGGGTATTGATGGGTCATGAGCTTATGTACTTTTGTGCTACAATCATTGGCAGATGAAGTTTTGGTCAAGAAAGATAGTTAGATACATCTTCTCAATGCTAGTGTAAAAAATAGGTGAACCAACGTAATTATCATCAGCTAAATCTAGAAGGTCATTAGCCTCAACATCTTCACCAAAAATTGGTGGGCCATCATAGCTGTAATGACCCCAGCATATATGCCCAAACCATTAACTCATTATATATTGTCCGCTTTAGGAAAGCATCTATCATCTTACCCCTCACAGTTTTATGTCGCATTCTTCAATATTTGAACTCAAGACCTCTACTTCATAAGATATTTAAATTGAATCTTGTTATCAACTGAGTAAGTCTCTCAGAGTCGATAATACGTAATGAGTTAACGGCTTGGGCATAGCTGCCGGTCGATACAGTAGCTATCTTCATCGATATCCAAAAATTATTCAATCTCCTACTCAAAAATAGGTGGACCATCATAACTTTCATCATTGTGATCCACAAATTTTAGTGCCTCAATATCACCGTTAAGATGTGGAATATCGTTTTTAAAACTCAATTTCCAACAGTTGTCCGAGGCACTGTTGATGTTGATAGCAACCAGTCTTTCACTTGCCCGTCATCATTACAGACACACAACTACATCAGCACACGGACTTTTTCACACAGCTTTTGGATACATGGTCACCATTAGATCAAGATACAATTCAATGGTGAGGGACATGGAGACAAGGCCAGCGAATGAGACGACAACCCGTTCACTCCAGTACATCCGCAATGAAGATGATCCAGTGACAAACTGGCAGCATAACGCGATGGTTAATAAAACAATTGTTGGAATCGAGTTTAAATACAATATTTTAGAATTTAACAGTAAAGTTGAGGAAGTAAATTTTGGGGATCTGAATGATGAAAGTTATGATGCACCTATTTTTGACAAGATTAAAGCATTTTCACATTTTGTTGTTGAAGGTTATGATGGCCCACCAATTTGCACTAATAAGTTGATGCTGACGAATTTCTAGATTTAGGTGATGATAGTTATGATGGTGCACCTATTTTTATGTTGGCATCGAAGAAGACGTACCTGAAGAATTCAATATATTAGGAGAGTATCGTGATTGAAAGGTAGTTAACCTTGAATTGATAACTTATAATTTTTTGTCAATCAATGAGATTAAAAAACCTTAGGAATAGGAAAATGTTATCGAATAAGTGAAATCCTACGAAGAATTGGCTCAGGCATAGTGGCGGAGCCAAATTATCGCCTTCAGAGGGCAGAAAAATATAAAGGCAAAATATACGTGTCTTGTATTTTTAATAAAATCAAAATGTTGTGGGCGATCGACACTCCGGGGCCTCTGTGGCTCCATCATGCTTAGACGCCAACAGCAGAAGAAGAACACGTAGCCATTAATTCTACATATATTGAACAGAGTGCTTATAACAGTATTTGGATGTTTAGTAGGGGATTTATAGCCCTTTTGTTGTGGTGGCATGAAACATTTGGTTCATTTTTCTTCAGACAGAAAATTTGTGTACCTTCACTCAACATCCATAACTTTACACATGAAATATTTGCCCCTAATTATTTCAAGTTATCACATTCAAGTATTATTCGGGGAAAGATAGAACGATGTGATTCTTCGGAGGAAATTCTATTAGCTGCCAATTTTCTCAGAATTCTCAGAATGTAAACAAATAGGATGGAACTTATGCTACTCTTTATGGGGCTTTGGATGACAAAAGAAGGATGCAAGGTTCGAAACAAATCTTCTCCAACCGGAGGAAAATGATGAGGGCGGATTATAGATGGCCCAACTTCGTTTCTTTTTATTATATTTTGTTGGATTAATTTGAATATTCTTGCACTCTAACTAAGGGCGTTTATGCACTTCAATAATTTCAGGGTTTTTCTTTACCTAGAATCTCTATTTAAAAACTTTATGCTTTGTCATTTTCTTGGTGGATTTGAATATTGATAAAATTGAGAATTTTCTCATATTCTGGTCGAATTTTTGTTATTCTTTGACACTCGGACATCTGGTATTCAGAGAATCAATTGATCTTTGGGGTGTATTGAGTCTTTCAAACTTCGCACTCCATGAGATGGTGGTCGACGAGAATATTTAGGCATAGTTAGCGAAGATGTTTAAATTTGTTCAATTAAAAGAGAAACAATAGTTTCATGGCTTGAATGAAAATGAAAGTAAGTGGGAGGTTTTATAGAATAAACGTGTAGGGATTAAATTGCAAGGGAAGCGTCCAACGATCACCAAATCTGGTCTTCTGTGCTTGAATTCTGGTGCAAAATTGCAACTTATTCCGATCCGAAAGCTTGATCAAAGCTCGGATCGAGCCTAAATTTTTTGGTCGAGCTTTTGCTAGACTTGGCTCTGGCCAAAAAAAACTCGAAATATTTTTACTCGAACCGAGCCTGAGCAAAAAGTTTTGGCTCACAGCTCGGCTCGTTTACACCCCTAAATTCATATGATCTTGAGATGGCCACTATCAAAGATGGGGGACTAGCGGGATTGACTGGACAGTTTGTTTGGAAGAACAAGGAAGATAGGAGGTTGATGAGGAAACCATTTGGGGGATGGAATCAGGAGTGGGCCGTGGAAAGCTTTTGATTTAGCAACAATTAATTTAGAATAAGGAAATACATAAATACAACGAAGTAAAGTTATCTATCATGAGACATCGTAGTGAAGTAATCAATCATGAGTCAGAGAAGTCTACTCGCGGGATTTATTGCTTTCTCAAGCATTACAATTGAAAAAAAATATGAAACTTTAATTGACAACACTGAACGAGGTCAACTAAACTTGGAAATAATGTACCAAAATCTACCTTTGATGGATGACCAAGACGTCTGTGCTGAAGTGAAGCTTTTATGGTACCAAAGGCAAGAAGCGGTTTGGAACGATTAGACTTAATAGAAAAACGTGAGGATATGGATTCAAATAAAGCATGCAAAACTTTGAAACGGATTATATTAATTTTTTGTGCATGCTTAGGACGTAAGATATGTTGAAAGTTACCAGGCCCAATGCTGTTACATTCTATAGATCTAAGAAGAACCAGATGCAGAGATTCCACTACAAAGGATTGTGTGTTGTACAAGTTCTGCCTCTTTAGTCTTCACCAGAACTCTCCAGAGCTGCATATTCCGTTCCTAAAATGATGAAATCGACTTGTGTCTCTAACAGTTATTTCTCTCTTAATCATGATTGTGATGTATTTTAGAGCAGCATGGCAGTCACCACATACCCTCAAATTCTTCGTAACAAGAATAGGCTTGTTGGGTTTTAAGCTAATAATTCTAAATGCAACAGCAAGTTTCTCGCTGTGATGAAGTAGAACCTCTTCCTTCTCCTCCTCTTCAACATCTTGGTACACAAAATCAGACTCTGATTTATACCCCAGTACTTTCATTTCTGCCAAGAGTTCCTCCAATTTCTTGTTTATTTTACCTGACTCGGGATGAGACCCATCTCCTCCAAAAGCATGAACAACCCCATTTACTTCGATCCAACTACATCCTGGGCTCTTCTTAAAGCTCAAATTCTTCTGCTTGATTCTGACATGCGCAGCATCATTCCATCATTGAGCAGTTGTGTACAAATTAAGGGTGTGTTTGATCCACATTATTTTGGAAGAATGTATTTTGGAATAGTAAATTGATGGAGAATTTGTGGTTGAAAAAGAATTAAAAGTTATTGATGTGATGGAAAATATTATTTTATGAAAGAATGTGTGGTTGAAAATGAGTAGAAGAATGAAAATGAAAATTTTAATGTGTACCAAACAGGGGCTAAATAAGAGGACGAAATTTCCAGTACTTTCAGGTCTCAAGCTCTGGATCCTATGTGACACTTCTTTGCTAATTCAACATTCTTGTAAATCCTACAAGCAGCAAGTAATGCAGTCCATCTATGAACATCAGGTTCAAATGGCATTCCACTAATGAAATGCTGAGCTTCATCCAAAAGACCAGCACGGCCCAATAGATCGACCATGCAGAAGTAGTGATCCATCCTAGGGACAACATTATATTCTTGGGTCATGGAGAGAAACCAATGCTTTCCTTCATTTACAAGCCTTGAATGGCTGCAAGCTGATAGGAGAGCAATGAAAGTTATGTCATCAGGTTTTTCGCCTACATTCAACATTTCATGGAACATGGAAATTGCTTCCCTAGCAAGCCCATGAATGCCATAACCATCATTGCATTCCAGGAGATTACATCCCTCTCATACATCTTACCAAAGACAAGCCTAGCCATATCAATCTTACCACATTTAGAATACATGTCAATAAGAGCATTACAAATTGAAACATCTCCTGTGAACCCACACACTATTGAGTAGCCACGACCACATATCCCATGTTGCAGAGCTGCCAAATGAGAACAGGCTGGCAAGAAACCCATGGTTGCCAATTCCAGTTCTATCCCTGCTTTTTGCATTTTGAGAAAAATTTGCAGAGCTTCCTCCGCATTACCATTTTGAACACTGCCTGAAATTATAACATTGTAAGAAACTGGATCTTTCACTCGCATTTCATCGAAGAACATGATGGCATCAATCATCAGCCCACACTTTGCATACATTGAAAGAAGTGTGTTACCACTGGATCTTTCACTCGCATTTCCTCAAAGAACATGATGGCATCATTCATCAGCCCACACTTTGCATACATTGAAAGAAGTGTGTTACCGTTAAATCGCAATGATAGCCCATTTTAATTGTGTAACAATATATCTGTCTCCCTATATTCAGGTCATTAAGCTTAGCACAACCACGAATAACAGTTGCAAGAATAATAGGAGAAGGACTAACAGCAACCTCCACCCTCATTTTTTGAAACAAATCTAACCCCTCTCTTGTGGCATCACAAGTGACACAAGCTCCAATCATAGCAGTCCAAGTGATCTCATTCTTCAACCCCAAGGCACCAAAGATCCGCTTTGCATAAACCAACCAGCCACATTTTTCATACACATCCAAAAGTCCAGTTCCAGCCACTTCCTCACCATCAAGACCCCTCCTCAAGCAAAATCCATGTATAGCTTTTCCTTCCTTCCACCTACCCGCCTCCCCAATTGCTGGCAGAATTGCCACAACAGTAGACGAATTGGGATTCACCCCCATCTTCTGCATCTCTAACACCAATCTCATTGCATCCCAACACAACCCATGTAACGAAAAACCCTGAAATCATTGTGTTCCATGCCACAACATCTCTCTCAAGCATTCTGTCAAACCTCCATTGCTTCCTCCAAACATCCACACTTCATATAAAAATCAACCAACGCAGTACACACATATACATCACAGCCAAGATCAAGCCTTTTCACATGTCCATGAACCTTCACACCATTTTCCACATCCTGCAATGCAGAACAAGCCTTTAGCCCAAAAGGGTACGTAAATTTTGTCGGCACTACACCAGAGTCCACCATTGCACAGTACAAATCAATGGCTTTCTCAAAGGGACCATCCCATGCATATGCCCCGATGATTTGGTTCCATAATATGGTCTTATATTTTCTTTCTGAGATATGTATTGAGTTTAAGACTCGTTCTGCAATTTGTGGCTTATTGCATGAAAGTAAAGGCGAGTGAGCTTATCCAGTAGCAGTGATTGAGTACTAAAACCATTATTGCTTAATTTGAGGAGATGCTGATGAATTGTTTTGCCTTGTTTGAGTGATTTTGATGCGATGCACGCTTCAAGAAGCTGCACATAATTATTACACATCTCCTCTTTGGGAGTTTTTTTCAGAAAGGTGGAAGGTTGTCTTCTCGGAGCATTAATATAAGTAGCCAGTGAGTTCTTGAGGTCAAAAATATTTTTGATTTTCAATTTCTTTCAACATGTCAATATTTTAACTTTGAAGGACTACTTTGTATTTATTTGTTTCAAAAGGGGTAGAGCCACAGCTGCCCGAACCCATATGGATCCATTCCACCTGGCCCACAAGTCGACCGCCAATGTATGAGCTTTGCCGAACTTTTTAGGATCTTGCTACATGTACATCTAGATTTACACAATGGATTACATAATATCACGTAGCAATCTACCGTTTGCCAGTTTAAAACATAATCAACTTTTTTATTCAATATTTTCCCTCCACATCATTTTCAATATCCGTTTATTTATATTTTTTTTTATGTACGAGTAGCAAAATTCCTATTTTTAATGCTATTTATGCAACATTGTGTACATAGTGGTGTACACAATAATGATATGAACAGAGATAAATATTATAATAATCGAGTTTTTTCTTTTTCTTTTCATCTCTTTTTTTTTTCTCATTATCTTTCTTTCATGTCATGTATCTGTATGTACACAATGATGTACAAATAGCTTTATTCTTTTCTATGCATTGGTTTCAAAAAGGGTAGAGCCACGGCTGCCGGAGCCAATATCAACCCAATCCATGTGGTCTATGGGTCAGCCTGCCCTTGTAAGACATGCCGAACTAGACTTTTCAGCCCAGCTTGAACCGGAAATCTCTGCTTTCGAAATTCCTACTTTTTTTTTCCCTTTTGAACTCAAATGCAAATATTTTCATTAAATCAAGTCGCCACGAACAGCAAATGACAAAAATAAATGATGACAATTCAACAAACGAACCAAAATCCTATCAACAGCTAGAAATGATGAAAACTTATGGGTCACAGGGAATAAAGCTACAAGTACCATAGTTAACATCTCCAAGCAGAAAAACAATATTGGACAATATAGCTTCTTTGTATGCTAAACTAAAATCCAGTTTCAGTGACTGAGTAGCTTGAGAATTACATTCAGCCACCTGCTGCCACCAATTGGCCTGTTTCCACATTTTCTTTGCCGCCCACATTCAACCAGTGCATTTGGATCTCCGTACTTTGAATAATCCTTTTTTCTTACTACATTCTGAGTGAATGTACATATTTCTGTAAGCAGTAAAGCAGGGTTAACCATAAACTCTAAACTTGAAATCTAATTTCCCTGCCCTGTGGAACTTCCTTACTGTTAGGCATGCAATACTAACATGCAGAGCCAAGATTCGCATAGATGAGACGAGTAAGTGCTTGCTCGACACTATTCAACTTTCTTTTAAACTTCTCAAACATACTTTTTATCCATACCTTTTGTGAAACTCGCAACTTATTACCCACCTCTGTAGCACAGACACTTCAATTAGGATAGCGTGTCCTTGTCGGACACAAGTCGATACCAACACTTCTCGAACACTCTAGCGTAATCATTTTTCTTTTTATATTAAAAATATTATATATTGTTAATTTAAAGTTATTAACAAGTAACAAATGTGTACTCATGTTTAAAAGATTTCAACACGAAACATTAATAACAAGTATAAAACTAAATTTATACTATATAAATGAAGAATTTTTAAGAATTTAATCAACGTTTCGATGACGTATGTGGCTGTACTTTTTTTTAAAAATCGTATGTCTACGTAAGAATTTTTAAGAATTTAATCAACGTTTCGATGACGTATGTGGCTGTAATTTTTTTTAAAAATCGTATGTCTACGTATCCGACATGCATCGTGTCGGACACGCGTATCCGTGTCGATACATCATAGCTACCCACTTATTATCCACACATTCTATAAAATCATGCTAGTAAGTATTTAAAAGCAAGCACTAAATCATTCTTTGTTTAAAGAAGAAAAAGACAACTTCACAAAAAAGAAGGGAAAATCCATTTATATATGTTAGGCACCAAATTGTCAAACTTCATAGGGCTGCAACAATAAAAGATTTCAATAACAAAAATGAGTTTAAAAGCTAACTGACTACCCAGACTATACAACCTTATCGATAATAGCATAATCTCGAATATAATCATTCCAAATCTCAGATGCAATAGAATCTCGCAATTGTGAAGCATCTTCTAATTCTTCTGTTACAAAAGGGATGTCCGAAAGTTGTGTTTCAGTAGGTACAAGTGGCTGTTCAATTTCTAGAGGTGGCATTGGGTCTTCAAGTTGTAACACGGATTCCTGTCCATACATTTGAAAAATCCAGTCATCATGCTTCTCTCCACAGATGTAATTGTGTAGGGCACATGCTGCAACAACTAGCTTCACTTGCGTTGTCAAAGGGTAAGGAGGAGCTGACATCAAAATAGGAAAACGTTCTTTCAAGGCAGCAAAAGTACGATCAGTAACATTGCGCAAAATGGAATGCCGCTGATTGAAGAGCTCTCTAGCATCTCGTGGGTGGAAGCCACCACCAAATTCAAGATGACTGTAAGAGACTCCAGGATATGGAGCAATGAACCCAGGGACATTTGCATATTTGCTATCCACGAGGTAATATTTACCTGTAATATAATGTTATTTCCAATAAATATGCAGAACACTTTAGGGGTTCATACATCGAATGCCCATCATGGTAATTAATTAACACTTTATAATTCACAAACATTAAAGAAATTGCCAGATACAATTTGGTTGGAAAAATGAGGGAGAAAGGACACAAGTTAATCCATAAATGATTCAGAAATTATATTAGCAGAAACATCAAAAGAGTTCTTTTGTTGGAGCTGTTCGATGATATAATTAATCAGATAAACGTGTTCTTTAAGAAAAAGGAATCAATTACATTTCAATGTTTCTTAAGCGCTAAAGCAAATTCGCTGTTGAAGATTAACATACCGTCAGGTACTTCGAGTTTGTTACGCCTAGTTATAGCTGAATTTAGGACCCGCATATCTGGGGCAGAGCCTTCCCAACCAGCAAGAACATAATGGAATTTCATGTCAAATGAGCATGCTACCAAAACACTTTGCGAAAGAAAACCATTCTTATTTCGGAAAGGTCCTTGCTCGTCTACACCTACTGTCACTGGGAAATGTATGTCATCAACTGCTCCAACGCAGTTCTAGTTGAAAATTGTAAAATATAAGCCAATGAATTTCAGGAAAAGAAACCAAACAAAATCGAAGTTTATCAGAATTAACATTACCAGAAAATAAGGGAAAAATCGAGGATCTTTGCGAATTTCTTGTGAAACTACAGAATTCGGAGGCTCGAAGAAATCTAATGAAACAGCCATAATTGCACTCAGAACATTGTTGAAATGGCGACTAATGGTTTCACCTGAGTATCTGAAGAGCTCCTGAACTGCTCGAGTCCGTAGATTATGACCAACTATGAACATAAATATTGCTAACTGCTCCTCAATCTTGATTCTATTTGTGTGACGTAGTAGCCCTCTGGTTTGTAACATATCACACAGCTTGTAGAATACATGTTTATCCATGCGAAAATTCTCCAAGCAAAGTTCGTTTGGACCATTAAGAACTTCATCTACAAATTTGGTACCAATAGATGCTATAGGATGGCCTAATTCCTTGGGAATGGAAGCTTGAAAGCCACCATCTTTTTCATCTTCCAAGCTGTCCATGGGAAAGCCACTCACTTCCCTTGGTTATAGAGAACGGTCACAAGCCGATAACAATGCAGGACATAACTACAACTTGGTTTCCACTGTTCCTGGAAAATAAGATTAGATGCAACAGTAGCCACAGAGTGCAACTGAGACCAATCTCAGGAAAACTTTTACAGCATTTTCATACTTGTTTACAGCACGCCAAAAGACACGAGTGTTTTCATGATTACCAAATTTTGGATAAGTAGCTATCAAGCCTCAATAGCTCCAAATAAAAACATAATTCTTAATCTGTTTCAACAGGAGACTGTTGCAGGAAATGACAGAAATTTATTAAGGTTTGGAATCTAAGTAGTGATTTCTATTACTAGTCGGGCCCAAAAGAATCCTGGAATCCTTTACAAAGTAAGTGCTGATTTTCTATTCTTATTCTGAAAGTCGCACAGCTGCAATCTCCTCAAAAGTTGAGACTGTACAAAAATCAAGAAGTACCACTGCTATTTAGTACATTTCTAAAATCTGAAAATACATTATCGGAGAACAAGTTTTCACTTGTACATATAGAAAAAAAAGTGCTTAAAACTTCATAATGAGCTGATATTCAAATTAAATCAGTGAGAACAGGCTAAAGCTAGAAAGATCATCAATGAAGCCTTCAACACCTAAAATTATTGCTCCCTCTATCCCATTTAAATAGGCTGATTTTGTTTTTCACACGGATTTAAAAATTTTATTTAATGTTATTAAAAAAACAATTTTCGCAAACAAATTTCCTAGTTTACCCTTATTTAGCCCTTGTTTGGCCCCCATTATAATGAGAATTTGAAAAAAAAAATGTATTTTGGAATAGTAATTTTTTTGAAGAATATGTAGATAAAAAAGAATGAAAAATTTTGGATTTACTTGTAATACTATTTTATTGGAGAATTTGTGGTTGATAAAAAGGAAAGAACAATAAATTATAATTTTAATTGGGACCAAACAAGAGCTTAATTGTCAACAACTAGTAGCAGTATTTAAAAATAATGGTGGGTAATTTTATGATCCATTTTAACTCTACTCTCCGAGAACTGTGTGTTACATTTGGATGATTCCAAGGAGTAGATAAATTAAAATCTTTACAATTTCAAGATTAATTGGGGAAAATTGGTTATAATTAGGCAAATTAAATAATGATATATTAATAAACTATAAAATATATATATTATCCATAAAGAAACAAGAAAATAAGGAAAGCCGGTCTAACAAAAAAGAAAAAAGAAAAATCACTCAGCATTCTTCTGAAGCATTTAATCAAACGGGACATATGCATTCTTCAAAGTAATCACAGCAATAACAAATAGTTCCCAAACCAAAAGCCAAATATTAGCTCAACAATTCGTTTGTTCAATTCATTACTTCAACTCAAATAAACAATGCCTATATAAGAGAACTTGGAGTTAGATTACAAAATCATCATACGCCATTCATTTACCACACAACAAAAAGCTCCTTCAAAACTAATACGCAATTTCCCTTCATTTACTTGAGGGAATTTCAATTAGTTGCCAAACCAATGCAAATTAAAGTTGGAACTCTTCATTCATTTAAAAGATCTTTTTTTTTCCCCTAGAAAATAATTCCATCTTGATTTTACTTTCATTTAACAATTTAACACCTCATAAATTAATTACCGTCGTTCTTGAAATCCAACTCACCTTTCATTCGGACCAAAATCGAGAAATTAAATTCACAATTAATGCCCAATATAAATAAAAGAATTTTTTAAAAAAAAAAGAGGAATGTCATACCAGAACGTCAGTTTTACAGGAAATCCCTCGAAATTAACAAATTATTTTCTCGTGTCGCCTGGAAAAATTGAGCACAAGCTGTTCAAGAGAGCTGTGTGTGTGTGTGTGTGTGTACGTCGCGTTTCGTAGATTTTCTCGAAGCAAACACGACAGCAATTTAATTGAGACCAAATTTAAACGAATTTGAGATTTTGACTTGCTAGTGTAATAATAAATCGAAAACTATGGCTAATTATGTTAGTATCATATTTTTTTTAATAAATTACATTAAAAATTATTAACATTAATTGTATTGTAACGCTACATCATTAACTTTTTTTCATCGTATTCTTATATTTAACCTTTCATTAATTAACACATACGATCCTCGACAATGAATTTAGTCCAAAATTTATGGTAAGAGAAATAAGGGGCAAAAACTTAGTCCAATGTTTTTCATTTTTTGAAGATTTAATGCAAGTTAAATTTTGAAAACAATAAATATTATCTGACCGAGTGGATATTGAGTGAAGACATATAAAAATAAGTATTTATAGTTAAGAAATTGATTCTTCAAAAAATAAAAAATCTCATTTGAATTTAGTTGAAAGACATCGTAAAGTCGGAAATAAAAAGCAAGCTTAACTACTCTAAATTTACGTTTAACTTTAAATAAACAAATATAATGCCCGTGTTCTAAGGAAATCGGTATTTTTTAAAGATACAATACATATTTAAGGTAGTTACAAGATACAATTTCAAAATTAAAAAACTTGATTTAAATTTCAAAAATGAGGCCATAGTTCAGAATTTATTAATTAAATATATTAAGGTCACAATATTATATAATTTATGGTCATAGTTACGTACTAGTCATAATCATAGAATGTCACAATTACAAATTTTATAGGTTATAAGTTATTTTTCGATCACAATTAGGGATGTTCAAAAGTTCCAAACACAACCGAACGGTTCTTTATAAGTTAATACATGAACGGGTACTCGAATCGAGAACCGATGGGTTTGGGTCGGATCTCGGATCTAAACTAAGAACCGAATGAGAATCGAAACTGAATAATTTTTTTTTTATTTTTTATATTGAATTAATTAAATTATTTTATTTTTTTAAACAAATTAGCAAATTAATTAAATAATTCAAATTATTTCATAACATTAATTTTTAAGCTCAAATCATTTTTAATACTCATTTTAATTTGCACATGACTACATGATTATTCGAATTTACTCATTAAATTTAAAGCCTTCAAATGAGATAAAATTCTAAGACTACTTCTCAATATCTACTTTTTTGTATTTGTATGCATTAAATTAATCTTATTGGACGGCTAGTTATTTATATGTTTTTGAATTGGACCACATTAATTTGTAAAAGTTACGAATGAAATGTCATTAATTGTATTTATGTAGTATTACTGTAAATATTAAAAAATTAAATTATGGTACGGAATCGAACCTAATCGAACCGAATAGAACGAAACCGAACCTGAACGGTTCTATAATTATATTTGGACCCGATGATTCCATTTATTAAATACCCGAAAGTTTGAATTTGTTCGATTCTCTTCAGAACCGAACAGAACCGACCCACGAATAGCCCTAATCACAATTTTCCAAAGTAATTGATCATGACTTATTTTTAATCACAAGTTTTATAGTTCACAAATTATTAAATGAATATGTCACAACTCATTTCACATCACAAGTTATTAAATTAATTAGTTACAAATTATTTCTCAATAAAAAATTATCAAATTAATTTATCATAACTTAGCAACTTATAAGTTACAGTTATAAAGTCAGTCTCGGTCACAAATTAACCATTTTATTGGTCACAATCACTGAATCACTTAAATAATTGGTTACAAACCCCACCCCACATCACTGGCACAACTGAAGGTCGTACTACCTCACCACCAACCACCATCAACAAAATCATCCCGCTAAGTAGATCGGATGATGAAGTAACCACCCAAAAACTTAAAACTATAGCCACTTCGCGCAATGAATATGCTATTTGTACATAATGTCGTATCTATAATGGTGTCCACTCCCTCACATGGAGGGGGGACCCATTTTGAATATATTATATTTTATTCGAAGTGGATCCCCTTCCATGTGAGAAGGTGGACACCGTTATGGACATTCCATTATGTACGTATAGCATCACCCCTTCGCGCAATGGTCAGCGTCTCCCACCACCAATACCACCATTACTTGCACCGCCATTTACAACTGCAAACCTACCACTAGATGACAAAGTAAAACTACAATGGATAATTCAATAAAGACGGTACCAAGAGACCATAAACAACAATTATTAAAATTACTAATTTAAATACAGTAATCAAAGAGATTTAATTCCAGTTTTCATCAGAGGCACAGAAACTTCAGTGGCCACGGTCAACACCACCATATCCACCACGTCCACCGCCTCCACAGCCACGATCAAGGGTAGATGCAGACATTTTAAGTTGAGGGGTATAATCATTTACTGTATAAATCGAATATTTTGTTCTTAATTTTTGAATAATTTATACTTGACACGAGAAAACGCATATTTATATTTTAAAAACATTTCATTAATATTTTGCTCATCATTTTCATTCATTTGATTTCAAACAATCATTTCATTAATATTTTACTCATCACAATGTATATTTACTTTTAAAGAAATTATAATATATTCGATACAAATAATCAATTAATATTCAATACTAATAATCAATCAAATAAACAGAATTTGTTAAATATAAGTCAAATTGAACATAATTATTTTAGATACGTTCCACATGCACAATTTGATAGGAGAAAATGCAAACTTAAATTCTAATTAGCTAAAAATTGATTGAGGAGTGAAGATTTGTAGTAGATGTGATAATTTGTAGAGATTATAGACAAATTTTAAAAAATTAGAAGAGTTAAGGTTTTGGTAAAACAGGTGAGGAAGAGAGTCGTGAGAGAATAAGAGAAAAGAGAAAAAAGCTTAAAAGTTATGGATCTCACAAAATATGTTATTAAAATTAATTGTTAACTTTGATTTATACTAAAATTTATATTTCAATCAATACCAAACATGACTTTTTCAAAAAAAAAAATTCAAAAACTTGGGGAGTTCACGTGACCCCCCCGGAACCCATTGTATCCGCCGTGGCCACAATCACGTTCGCAACCATATCCATTGCTCCATAACCTCCCTCACAACGATCGTCGCCTCCACCTCCATAACCTCCTCACAACATCCGACATGAAATCTTTTGGGAAATATGTAGGAAAATTTGAAAAAACTAATGAACTCTAATGCACGAAAATCGTTATCGTTTAAGAGATATTTCTCCCATACCCAACGAAGTCATTACTGGTGTATGATAGAAAATCTCTCTCATGATACAATGGAAGCGTTTGATTCAGACTGTGACTATTTGATCAAATCAAGAAGACACTCTATTAAGAAATTGATGATGCCAAAAGAAAGAGAGGAGAATATAAATAACGAATTTTATTTTTCAATGTGTTTTGCAAATGAGAATTCGCCCAAAGTATATAGAAATGGAGACAATCATTTGAATATGTGTGTCCCTTGAAATGAATGAACACATCAGTTGGGGCGACAAACCATTTGAACAAGTCGATTCCCGTTGCGTAGCGGCAAATACTAGTCGGGACGACAAAATATTCGCAAAACAAAATATGAACATGCAAAATGATGAAAAAATATCTAACAAAATCTACAACCTACTCTGCCACTGTTGTGGGACTGAGCCTATTTTATGATGATGTTACAACAATTTATGATGATGTTACAACAATGAAGGTCCTAGCCATTCATCCCCTCAAATCACATCTCTCATTGATTGCTCAACCTAGGTCACAAATCGAACACCTCTTGATCTCCCGGTCTCATGATCATTTACAACCTGATCTAGAAACTTTTGATCTCCACGTCCCATGGATAGTTTATGAAAATGAATTAAGGCTTGTGGGCTATGTGGAGTAGAGGTGGGGTGGGGTGCGGTAAATTGGAGGTGGTAGATTAATTTAATTAAATAATATTATTGTTAATATTAAAAAGTTGAATTATGACATAATTTTTGAATAAATAAGTTGTAAATTTTATTTTTGAAGTTGAAAGTTAAAATCCATGCGTGGGTGTAATTTTCACATTTTTTAATGTCATAATTTGTGAATATATAGTTGGGTTTTATAATATATTAGACCAAATAGGAGAAATAATTATAAAGTTTTTTTGACAATTACAAATATTCTTTTCTCTTTTCGAAAATTATAGAAATATCCTTCAAATCTTGTTTTCCAGAAATTCTTGTTAGTAAAAATGAAATGTATAATTTCTATTTTACGATTTTGTCGAAGTAAATTTTTTGTCATTTTCATATTTCCACCAAGAACAAAAAATTGTTTAGTGAAATATGTTTTAACATTCAATTCGATATCCTTTTTATTCTGTTTTATTTTTATTATTTTCGATTAATTTTAATTTGTGTAAAACGAGGAAAATTTAAAATTAAGAAAATAAACTTTGTTATAATATGGCATAAGCAAAAGAGAAACGTGAAAATTTTGTTTTTGATAACAAAGGAGATTTCTGTAATTTTAAAATTTGGATTATTTATATTTATTTGGGGATTCTTTAATTTGAAAAATATAAGAAAATAAGTTCTAGCCAGAAAATATAGTCTTTTCTTTTTTTTTTTTTTCACAGAAGACGAGAAGCCTTATAAGATTGACCAATTTTAATTTCTTCTTTGGAAAGTAATTTGTAGACAACATTCGTAACATGAAACCTACCATTCTTATTGTTTAAAAAAATCTAGTGGTCGATTTAATTCAGATTAAGACATTCTGAGTGAGTGGTTGGTAAAATTCTATAAAGAATCATTAAATTTTACTTGGAGTGTATATTTAAGTAAAGATTTCAACGGTTATCGCCTATAAAGTAAAAGAGACTTGTCTTCTCCGCATATATATTCTTTAGAATTGAAGTGTGTCCTAGGCTTTTCAAGGTCTCCATTGGCACGTCGCGATTTTGATTGATTCTTAAAATCCTTGTGGCTTCTTGTATTGTTCAAGGTCGCCTCAAATATCTTGAGGCTGCCGCGCTAATGGTTCGTATTCTTAAATATGGATTTGACACTTGAATAAGTGCAAGTGTACAACCAGTCTTTCACTTTATATCCTTGGAGACACATCCTGCTATATAATACCTTTACCAAGGCCTAGGGTACGATAGGTGGGGCTCGTCAAGGGTGTTGTTCGTCCTTTAGATAGGTACCGCTACTCGTATCAACTTCTTATTCAGACAACAATAATTTATTAACCTCATTATTGCATTAGGTTATTAGTTATTTGTAGTTTAAAGTAGGTGCACCAACTAGTCCTATAATAATGTTACATTGACAACAAAAACAAAGGTGGTTGTTCATTAAGTTGAGCATAATGGAATAATTTCTAAAATATATTTAAAAGATAATAATGGTTGATATTATATGAAAATGTTGGGGACTATTCTCCTCGTGTTTCAGTTTTTAGTTTTGAATTCATTTTGAATTTTGTGTTTTGAGTGTCCTTTTTGATATTGTTGAAAACGCTTTCTTTTTGTCATTTTGAAAAATTGTTTTCAAAAATTAAAAAATGAAATTTTGGCTTAATTTTAACTAAAAACAGCCAAAGCGACTTTTTTGACGTTTTCCGTTTTCTTTGTAAATTTTAATCTCGTTTTTGGAAATTCATTTCTGAAAATAGGTAAGTAAATACGTTTTCAGTGTTTTCGAAAACTGAAAACAACAAATTGCCTACAATGAATTTATTTATCTATGGTGCTTTAAACTCTAAGCCACACCAACTATTGGCGATATGAAATTTCACAAGATTTTGGCGATAGTTTCCAATGAACTTTGTATTATAGAATGAAATTTTAACATCCCACGTTACTGAGCAGGTATGGAAATAAATGAACAAGGACAAACTCCAAGTAAGTATGTATACAACTGCAAACTCAAAACACAAAGGCCAATATGTCCAGGATAATGTATATTATATAGCTTTAGGTACAATATAATAAAATACATGCCACAGCAAGCAAGATCATGGATTACAAGCATGATTCAGTGACATATTTGGATGTTAAAGCTTCAATCCGAAAAGCAATAATCAGTCGAAAAGATGAAGACGCTGGCTTCTAATGTAGCTACTTCACACGGAATTTAATTACACAAGGATAGTGTATACAAGGATGAGAGAAGATGATTGTCTACATATGTTGTTCTTCATTGACTTGAAATTTATACCAGCTTCGAATCCCTTTTACGGCTATTCTCAGAATCACTTATCCTTCTATGCACGGAATAGGTTACCTTGCCTTATGCTCGGATTAACTTCATGGTTATGCCTGTAACTGCTTCCACAGTTACCATCAGAACTACAATCATCACTCTGCAAAGATGGTAATTTACTGAATGTGACTGCATCACTGAAATCAGGGTCTTTCTCTAGAAGAACCAGACTCTTCGTGTAACTATCGACATGAACAGAGCATAGATATTCCTCAGATCTACAGCCAGGGACATCAAGATAATTAACTCGTCCACGTGGATCACAAGAAACCAAACAGCCATCCTTTGTAATGATTAACACCTCGCCATCTTTTCTAACCCATAACTGCTTCATAAATCCTCCGCCAAAATCGTGTAAATTGATGTTGAATTGTTTAGCCCAAGACTCCATGACCCCATATTCCTTCATCACCCATACACAACATTCGACCCTGGATTCATTACACAAAACAAGAGCAAGTGATTCCCTATAGATCACCAATTCCTTACTTTTTTGAGAATCATCTCTTGCCAGACGAGCCGGTAATATCATCTCCCGGAACACCTCATAATGCATATCAAACAACAAAATCAAATCATTACCATCCAAGTTACGAGCAATCCAATGAGTAGACCCATTTATGTAAGCCTGGCACAACCTATTATGTATAATGTACTTAAGGGCCAAATGACTAATGTCTGCCCACACCCCCATGCTCAACCTATAAAGCTCAACCTGGGGCAGGCTACCATCAAAATCTGTATATGTAATCCTCACCACCTTATAGTCCTTAGCAATGGGGTCGAACCCAAATCCAAGCGATTGCATAAAACTACCATATGAATTATATACCAAATTGGGCTTCGGAAGAAGAACCGACTTTTTTACACAGGGGTTCCAAATAATTATAGTGTTCATATAAAATACCCGATCATCAGAAAGACATAACAACCCATTGCAGCTACCAATGATTGTGAAAAACGGGTTTATGCTTCTAAAGGGGAATTCCAATGTAAAATGTCTATCAAACAGTACATCATCACAATACAAATCATAGTGCTCAATTTTTTTAACGCAACGCCTGAGTAAAAGCAGAGGGATACCTTCATTGCTAGAAATGGCGAAATTGAGATGTGCGGAAATGAATTCTGGGCTAGTAATTAGAGTATACCATGATTTTGAAACGCACGTGCAGCAAATAAGGGGCTTGACTGGCAATCTTATGAGGATGTTGACGATGATTCCTTCGGGAAAAAAATCCGACATTTTCCTTGTTCTTGAGCTCAAGATTTACAGATTCGAATGGGTTTTGAAGAAGTAAAAGACTCAGATTTCAATCAAATGCTTGTCTAAAAGCTAAATCATGAGAAATTCTGACTATAGAGTGGACTATAAAAGTGCTCCATAGATAATACAGGTGTTCATTTTACGGTAGACTGGCGGGGAATGCAATTATTGGCTGTTTTCTGTACGGTTTATTTCTCTCAAGTTCCTCCAGTTTGAACTTGGATTTTAGTGCAAAAGTAATCGACTTTACTTTAGCCGAGAAATTGGCAATTTGTTGGTGTAGGAATGGCTGAACTACTGCTTAGGTCCCATCTGATATGACTTGTCGCAATTGTAAGATATTGGATCTCATATGATTTCAAAAATGCAACTTGTACACACTTGGTACACAATCTCCTACCCAATCCTCTCACATGTGTGTGGGGTCCACAATGAGCCCCACATTGTGGGATCCACACATATGTGAGAGGGTTGTGTAGGAGATTGTGTACTAAAGTGTGTAAGTGTAGCAAGGTTCATGATTTACCTAAATGATAAGATTATTGCAAAACATTTGTAGGATATTATTTCATTTTTTTCAGCAATGTTCGGTAGGGATTAAAATTAAATTTTGATAAAAATTGACGAAATAAATAGTTGAAAAATTGTGGATCCCATAAAATACGAGTTTAAAGTTAATTATTGACTTTGATTTAGATTAAAAATTAAATTTTAATTTCTACATAACAAGGACTTAATCTTTTTTCTAGGGGTTTGTTTTGTCAAGTGTGACAGCCCCGATCAAAATTACACCTCTCGTTTGTTCCGAGGTATGTTTGGAAGAGACGATTGAATAGCACTAAACAATATTGAAGAAGACTCCTTTAAACTAAACATGCATTTGACATGTTGGGTGACCTAAAAGGCAGAAGTTCACCTAGAGAAGGTGATGGATTTATCCTTTGAATATAGTTTTACATCGTTTTTGGAGCTTGACTTTTGAACATTTTTAATAATATATATCAAGAAGTCTAGGTTAAAATAAATTTATAATCCGTATAAAGAGATAATTTTCGTTTATATGAGTGATACAATCTCTGTAAAAAAAAATAAAAAGTTAGATGATGATCGATTGACAAATAGATGAGACGTGGGAGAGACGTGCATATTGGACATGATTTAGCCNAGATGAGACGTGGGAGAGACATGCATATTGGACATGATTTAGCCTCCGTTTGGTGCACATTTATGGAAAAAGAATGCATTTTTACTGTTGATGTGATAGGGAATATGTGGTTGAAAAAGAAGGAAAAGTTATTGAAGTAATGAAAAATATTATTTTATTGAAAAATATTTGATTAAGAATTAGTAAAAGAATGAGAATGAAAAAATTAATGTGGCTCAATCAGAGCCTTAATTTTAATGATTTTGTCAAACTAAACAGGAACAGAATGTCTTGACTTCTAATGTGTAATTATGAGTTCAATTTACAAAACTTTGCCTTCACTGCTAAGGGAGATGTGGCCCTTGAAATCATGTCAAGAAGTGACATTATTCAGTGAGGCCAACTTGTTATAATCAAATATTATACTGCAATTTGCACAAAGGCATGTTTCACGTTATACTATACTACACATAGGGTCTACCAGATAGCCTTTTTTTGTACCAAATTAAGGATTTTTTTTTTTTTTACTCATTATGCAAAATCTTTCTCTCGCATCCTATGTCTTTTTTTTTTTTTTTCGTGCTTCAAAGTTCGATAAATAGGACATCAGTTTGGTATGCTGGTTTCTTTGTTATAGAGGTAATGTTTCGATTGGAACAAAAAAATAATTCTAGTACTTGAAACGATAGCTTGACACCATGAAAACTAAAGAGAGTAAACCAATCCTAAAGATACATCGTGAAGTGTTTGGAATCAAATTAATGTACGTTTATTTTTCGTATTACGTCATAGCTACTAATTTTGTGTTCTATCAAATGAATGATGGCGATTAAGAAAAGCCAGTGACCCATAAATAATGTTTTCTCAATGCTCTAAGACCTCCCACGAAAGATTTCCTCGTATTCTTTTGCTTGCACTTCACATCGTCGTGCTTTGTCCAATGTCCAATTCGTGATTCTTCCATTCTTCTTGTTTGTCTTCTAAATCAAGGTGGTTGTCTCCGTCCTCGAACAAATATTCATTTTCGTTCACTTTTCTTCATTTGTTGTGCTAGACGTGGAATTGTTTCTTCTACTTAATTCTGATGAGAATTTTCGTCTTACCTATATCAGAAAGTAAGTTTTCGAATGGTGGATAAGATAACACAAGACAATATGAAAAAGAAAAGAAAATCTTGTTCTTTGTAGTGTCCTACACAATTTAACACTGACTAGTAATG